GGTATATCTATAACATTATAAAAAGGATAGATTTGTATTTTTGTATGTATTGAAATAACTCAAAAACTATGACGGATCTCAAAAATTCTTTCACCGTTAAAAAGCTAAGTTATCAGTGACATAAGTTATTTATTTTTACTATTTCACGTGGACCAAGTCGCAGGCAACAGCTAGTATTTTGCATTTTTAAGTCTCCAAGGACAGATGTCTCGCCTCTTCAATCCCCTTAAAAAACTCACGACCAACGGACTAGAGTATACATTCAATATACAGATAAATTAATGTTCTGGTCCAATTTGATTCAATTTATATATTTCTATTGATATGCTCTTACAAATAACAGTTGAAAGGGTACAGTGTTGTGTAAAACGGATTTTTGTGTAGATTTATAGGTAATTTATTTATCTGTTCAGGTCTAAAGTTGTTCGGCGAGCGGTACTCGGGGCTGGAGTACGACTACCGCGGGCTGGTGCACGTCTGCACGCAGCTGAAGCGGCACGAGCGCGCCGAGCACTACAGCGCGCTGCTGCAGCGGTGGCATGGTACGTGACACGTGACACATGACACACATGACACCGTTGTAAACGAGCCCATTGTTATAAAACTAGTGGTCAGAGTCCAAGATTTGATGGGTGTATAAGCAAAGGATTATTCCCAACCGTAACACCGCTTTGTCCCCATGTCAGAACAGATAAGAATAAAAAGTTTCATCCTTCCCACCTTTTGCGACGAGGGGACGGTTGGAACTTATTTCACAACGGTTCCATCTGTCACCTTATTGGTGGTAGTGGGACTAAAGGGCGGAACAGATGAAACTTTTTATTCTCACGTGGGGATAGAGCGGGGTAACGGTTGGGAATAAGACTAAGCAAATAAACTGCAATATTTGGATAAAATCTACATTGTAGGTCTTACTTAATGACTTTGTGTTAGTATTTAACTATTTTGATGAATTTAATTAATTTCATAGTATGTATGAAGTTTACATATCTAAATGTATTAGCATGACAATAAAGAGGTTTTTGTTTATTTAAGTTTTTGCCCGCGATTCCGTCTGCTTGGAATTAAAAAAACAAAAACGAGTAACCTATGTGTTTTCTAGATTATCCTCTACATCTATGCCAAATGTCATCGAAATTCATCCATCCATGTAAACTTTCGTATTTATAATTAGTATATGATTTATTTTGTATGTTCAGAACTGCGCGAGCAATCAAAGACGGAGCAGCAGCCGGCGCTCAACGACGAGCAGGTGCTGCCGCTGCGGGAACTGTGCGCCAGGCTCGACATACAGTGAGCAGCGCCCCCGCACCCGCCCCACAGCCCCCGCCCCACAGCCCCACAGCCCCACAGCCCCACAGCCCCACAGCCCCACGCCAGAAATGCCCCGATACTTTACATCAGAAGGCATTTATGAAATTATACGAAGATTGGTTAAAAGTGTGCGGTTCCTTCTACGTTGCTGCTGGGATGACCTTGTGTCCAGGGAATTCTATGTCAAAACAACCAACCCCGAAATGTACCCCTTTATGAGAAAACTCAACTATTCTTCTTGTATATAGATTTTTTTATGCATATAAAACGAATTTTTAATTATTATTCGCTTTTAACAATGAGAATCGATGTCGTTGATTTTAATTTTTAATCTGACAATGCTTGTAATTTTGGGGGGAAATTCATGACGTAAAAGTTAGAGAAAAGAATTATTTATACTCAATGTTTAAAATGACAGCTTTATATGTCTGTGAGGAAATTGTAAATGCAATTTAGGGTTGCCAGTTATTCGATGACTCAATATATAGACGCGAGTGTAATCATGTAATTAGAATTGATTTTAAATGTACGTAGAGATTTTGCACAATTTTATTGTTAGTGTGATTTTGACCTGTGGGAAATTAGCCATTTGCATGTATGTGATAAGAAACTTCAGTCATCTATTTATCTGATCTCTTTTACAAATTGTTTTATATATTTATGCTATATTGGTTAACATGTAATTATATTTATCATACAGATTAAATGGACAGAACATCACAAAATGAGGAATCCATAGACGCTGTGATCGTGTATATATTTTTTTTGAAACATAGATTGTATAAATTGTGCATGTGTTTACTTTGCTCTGCCGATGTCTTGTGTTCCTTTATTAGTGATGTAAAGTTTATTAAAATTATGACCGCTTCCGTATTCTATGTACTAAGTGCAATGTAGTGAGAACTTTGAGATGTATATGAATGTTTTTTTTTGTTTTGTTTGCGAATATCTTTCGATGCAGTGCCTCGTTTGTACCAATTAGTAAATTGATGTACTTAAGTTGGAGTATTCGACAATGATTGCACTGCATTTTAATCTTTAATGTATAGTTGTAACGCCTTTTATTCGATGTTCGGAGGTTTCACTCAGCTTTGACATCGTATTTGCAAGTATTTTTGACTTTGCGTGCAAAAGCACGTATACAATGTTAGCAGTTATGAATGGCTGTTAGGTTCGTGAGATAATAAACGTTTCACGTCCATATATGAAGTTTTATTTTGGAACTTTTTTCCCTTTCCCAACTAACATCACCGATATAATTTCCCGACTATGTCCCCATTGAGAGGTTTCGAGCCTATCCTTGTCGTCTCTGAGAGTCGAAATGGCGGATGTATCCTAACGAATTAAATTATGCCACTTACCAACAAATGTACCTATAATGTACTATTTAATACCTCGCTCAATAATAAAAAGTGTCGTCGCCAGAACCCGCTATATTGACGTCAATATGCCGGGTGTCGGGTGTACTATTGTTTTAAGACAATTATACCAAATAACTGTTGCTCGCGACTTCAATTGAGCAAAATTAAAAAGTAAAAAAACATTGGTTGACTTCACACACATCTTTGAATTTCTTTGCCGATATGTGTAGATTGCATCAAGATGCTTTACTTCACCTTAGAAACTTCGGGTAAATGATGTACATATGAAATTCGAAAATCACATGGTACATGCCGGGGTTTGAACCCGCTAGTTTTCCCCTTTTCTTATAAAAAAAGATTACAAGTCAAGTGCTTCAACCCATGTTTCTTTTTCCTAATCATAAAAAATCTTTTTTCTAACCTTAGCAGTTAGAATAAAGATTTTTTCGTTGTTTGGTTACAAGTTGTGAAAGGGGGGATTTTCTTCCACTTTCTTTTTTCTTAACTGGTTCCTAAGCAAGTGAGCAAGGGATCGGAAGGAGAGATATGAAACAAATAAATATTGTTAAAACATTTTATTTAAAATAAATTTTACTTTAGGCAACAAAAGCAGTAATAAGCCAATTGCAAATATGAATTGAGAATATTGGAATGCTAACATTTTCCAAATTACACTTAACTTATTTGCATAAAAATTAACATAAATAGCACTTTTCTATATCAAAAAGTATTTCTTAAATTACTAACTGAAATTAAATGGGCGCTTAGTGTAATGTTTATTGTTTATACAACTGAAAAAATTACATTCAAAATGAAGGCACTGGTTTGCGATGTATTCATAACTAGGTAAACAAAATGTTAATTTTAGGTACATAATTTCTTATTTATTTTCTACAAAAATGTAACAAATAATGTGATCATTTTTATAATTGACTCGAATAAAATCTTTTAATAAAAACGATATACTTTTCAGATCTTTCATAAATATTCTTAACAATTTTTATTTACTTTATTATTTAGTCTGTTACAAGGACGAAATGGTGGGTATTTGTATATCTAAGCTGCGTAAACAAGCTGCTCGCATAATAAATCTATCAGACGCGTATTTCTATAGAATTTCTTCTATTTTCGGCTGATTGAGGTCATCTTACGCCGGGCCGAGCAGAGCCACGAGCGCGCGCTTGTAGTCTCCCGAGGTCTCGCCCTGCTGCGCGCCGTCATAACACGTTATTGACAGGTGACAGGCGACAGGTTGTCATGACAGGTGACAGGCGACAGGCCAAGCGCCGTGAGTCATGCGACAGCGTGAAGGAAAAGCGGCATCATTAGTAATTTGGAATTTATTTCTACCTTCCAAAGTGTTTTTGATTTTTGATTTGAAATCACGTAACATTTAGGTAAACTTATTTTAAGCTTCACTTTGGATGGTAGTTGTGTTATTTACTTTAGCATATTACATAGTAATATAAAAGCGCAATTCTTGCGACGTAGAAAGTGCTTTTAGAATTCTTAAATCATAATTTAATTGCCGACATATTTTGAGTTTATTTCCTTGAGTAATCGAGATTTCGAACATAGCCCTGTTTTCAAGTTAACTTTGAATCAGTAACTAGACCTATTACTATCACTGTACTCTGCTTAAAATATAAAATTTTGTATAAACCTTACCTGCTGTCCCGCCACCGGCCGCGATGCGAACACCAATGTATTGTTAATACACACAATAAGAACATCAAAGTAACAAAGCGTTATTCAGAGAAGTATCCTTACTTTCATGCTGTTATGTGCTCTTGAGACGGGCGAAGAAAGGAATTTGTACCTATAGTTTTTAATTTCAACAAAATATTCCTTCCGTCGCCAGTACTTTGTGATTGAAATAATCAATATACAACGTATCCCACAATATTTTTTGTGACATTACCAGTTTTTCTGCCAAATTCAAGATGTACAGTCGAGAAAACCCGCGGTGTTCCACTTACAGAAAAATTTCCTTGTTCGTTGTAACGAGATAGACTCCGATTCTAATTACAAAATAATTAAGCAAAAGAAAGTTATGTCAATAGAATACCAATAAAAAATAATTAACCGTGTGCCACTGATCGAATTTATTTCGTAGACTCATTTAAAAGTTGCGTTCTATTGTTTATTGTCCCGGGACGTCTCTATATGCATACGAAACGTACAAACGACAACTTTTAAGTTGGAACACCGCTAAATTCCCTGATTGTACATCGTGACGTCACATGGGATACGTCAGAACCAGAATACAAACCTCTAAATCACTCTGCAGCGTCTTATCATAGAGTCTCTCGTACTCTTTCTTTATATTTCCAAGGTCTATTTCAGCGCGGCTCGCGAGCACGCGCACCAGGCAGCCGTCGTCCGTACCCGCGCCCTGCGTGGCCCCGCGCAGGCGCGCCGCGAACCACGCCGCCGCGTTCTCCACACACTCCACTGTAACAAGACCCACCGCTACATACCCGCACTACGCTCACGGAGACCTTTATACTGCAGCCGCGCCGACCACTCCAGCTAGACCTGTTGACACGTACCTGAGCTGCGCTACCGACACTGTACCGTATGCCGTCACCGATCGGCGTTTATCCAGTATAACTGGAGCCGAGCACACGTACCCTGATCTCACTCTCGAGGGTCTTGTCGTACAGGGCCTCGTACTCCCGCTTGACGGCGGCGAGGTCCAGCTCGGCGCGGCTGACCAGCACGCGTATGAGCGTGGTGTCGTCGGTGCCGAGCCCCTGCATGGCGCCGCGCAGGCGCCGCGCGAACCACGCCGGCGCGCTCTGCACGCACTCCACTGGAACACGTTAGTTCGCGGGCCCTACTCGCATCGCTGCTAAAACCCCGCTAAAACCGCGCTATACGAAAAACTACACAATTTTTGCTAAAATAATACTCATCAATAAAACTTTTGGGTCTAATCAGTTCTTCTCTAAACAGTTTATCACTGTAACGTGATATTTTTCGAACATATGATATTTTTCAACAAAATATGCAGTAAAAATTGAAAAAAAAGTCCATCTTTAAATAGTAATCAATTATTACAATAGTATACTGACCGATGGCAGAGTACGCGTCCTTCAGCTCGCCGTCCACCTCCGCCTTGATGGCCTGCTCGATGGTGCGGCCCGCTAGGTTCTTGTACTCCTCGAAGATCAGCCGCAGCTGCGCGAAGCTCTCGTGTGCTAAGATCTGCATCATAACATTTTAAAATCTATCTATAGTGTAAAATTCTATAAAAACATTAATTAAGTAACGTAAAACATATTCCGTTTGCTGCATTGTCGACGTAAGTATGCATGTATTTATATGAAATATACAAATGTATTGAAAACTAAGTTAACTAGCTTAAATCGCCCAATTCCGAGATTATAAGGTGCTAACATCTAGTGAGGTTACAAGAAATTTATAATTTTATACTACAAGTTTTTTTTTAAAAAAAAAAACACGGGACAAAGGACGCCCATGGAGCAACACCAAAGGAAATAAAGATGGATTGCAGTAGACCGGTTGACCTAAAACATTGTAAAAATGCTCGCCTCTTGAAGGACCCTAAGTTGAAATTGTTTATCTTTTACACACAAGTAAAGAAAGTGTATACTAACAACTCACCTTGTTAAAAACTTCTTCATCAGTGCCCCACTTAGCCTCGCCCGCGTCGTACAGCTGCTGTGCGCTGTCGGCCGCGCGCGCCGCGTCCACGCCCGCCTCCTCATCGCGTGCGCCCTGCGGGGCCCGCTACATACACACCTCGTACTGCACTACCCCCCCCCCCCACACCATACACACCACTACTACACCACTCACACGATTGCCCACTAAAGGTCTCTCCTTCAACGGGACACCCTAAAAACTACAGACGTTTAAAACTCATCTACTCAAACGACGCGAAGTAATAACCAATACGAAAATAAGAACGTAGTAAATTTCTATACGAAAAAGATCGGTCAGGACACGGCTAGTCCTTTTAATTATCTAAAAACGGAAGCAGAGCTCCAAGTATTATTGTATAACAGATTTTATTAATAAAGTGTTTATCATTTATTTATTTATTTATTCCGTCGTTTGTGCAACTCATTGCTACCTAGTGAGATCTATTAGGCTACGTATTAGCGCTCTTGTTTGGAAAGAGGCAATTTCTGTTTGAATCACCGCGGATTTCCGTGATAGTACATTTAACTAGCGCCGTTAGGGACAAAAAAGGTCACCACAGGTCTAATTAAGTCTTATATAAGGGTGTTAACCTGACCCATATAACCTGCTAAATGGGTAAAAATTCAGCCCAAACCTGCTAGTAATACTAAATTCATTAAATTTCTGCAAGTTTATCGTTGTAGTGGGTGTACGAAGGACGAGGGCGATGCAATTTCCCAGCAAAAGCAAAGTAAAGTTTGTGAAACGTCAATCATTATTCTCAAACACCAACACACACTAACACAATCATAAAATAAGTTGTGAATCGAATTTATTTTAATTTATTAAAACTTTTAGACAATCCAAAGAGATTTATTTAACACATCCATTCATGTTAATTTGCAAAGAAAATCAATGCACAAGCAACATCTTAATACGGTTAGTTTGTGTTATTGGAGTTTAGTTACAAATAATATTTATATAAAACTAAATCAAACGGATTCCAACTGAAACACATTCGTGCACACAAGTACAGTCAGGAAAACTGGCAGTGTTCCACTTTAAAAGCTACAATCATTTGAACATTTTGAAAGGAGATGCGGAACAAAAACCAACACAACGCAGCTCATACATGTCAGCACGAAAAAAAGTCGATTAGCGTTATACAGGTATTTTCTTTTTATTATTATTCCTTCGTTTGTACTCACTGTTATCTTTTTTTATTTATTTATAAGTAGCTTAAATTTATTACAAAGACATAAAATTTCGGCAAACTGCCATAGCAGTTAATTGGCGATAACTGCTTCTATAAACTTAATACTTTTACTAATACATAAACTATGAAAAAAAAAATCTAAGTAGTTACACAGAGTTTGCCTCGTTGCAATGAACAAGGCAATTTTTCTTAAGTGGAACACCGCGGATTTCCGCGAGTGTACATTATAGTCACAATAACATGAGTTGTCACTGCTGACGTCACGGTGACGTACAGCGCGGTGGACCAGATACTTACGGTGACGATGAGTGTGAGAAGGCGGCGGAAGTCGCCCGACGTCTCCGAGCACATGTGCTCCGCCAGCGGCCGGTCGTATACTGACACAAATTTAATACAAAATTCTTAAACTATAGGAAAACATGATACAATCTGTACATATCTCAAAGAATAATAAGTTAATGTCGAACCAATCCATATTACACCAGTCTGATTGACCCTTTGTTTATGGCAGAATATAAATTTTTTATAAAAAATTCATCACTTACATCTCTCATACGCTTGCACGATGTCAGCGATCTCCTTCTTGGTACGAGTGCAGAGTATCTCAATGAGGACACTCTCATCAGTACCGAGCCCTTCCATGCACTTGTTCAGCTCTTTGCAAAGGTATTCCTCAGGAGGCAACATCAGCGCCACAATCACATCTTCAAAGTGACCACCTAACTCTGACTTCAGGTCCTCTATTAAATCCTGGATTAACAGATGTAAAAACCTTACAGTTAATATAAATTAATACAGCAATTAAAGAAGCTTTATGGCTTAGGAATTTTTATGGCTATATATACCTATCAATAAAAACATTTAAAGGTTTGAAAAATAAAAAAAAACACATTTGCACTCTACTATAGTAGATTTTATGTTAATCTGGAGTAAAGAATTTTGTAAAAAACTATATAAAAAATGAACTTGAGTTATATATTTCATATAGAAACCATTACAACCTTCCGACCTTCAGTTTTATAATGGTGTGTAATTGAAATGAGTCATAACAAACAAGTTTTCACAGTAATTTCCTCAAACCATGATTCAATACAGCTGTCTTTGTCCAACATCAGTGTAACTAATGATATTCACACATTACAAATACCAAGTCTATATACAAAACTATTTCCATAATAATATATTGGTATATTAAAACTATATTTTGTTTTTAATAGGCGTGGTTCGATGCGCAGAAGTTCGCGCCATTTTACACACCTTTACATTGACCCAATGACCCAAAAAGCATTCATTAGCCCATATCGATTTTTGTATGTATTTTATTCACACAAACTATTTGGCAGATTTTGAAAATTCTTTCACTAAATGAATAGATATTATCTGTGAGTAACATAGGCTATATTTTTTTATTATTTTTTAATTACACGCGGACGAAGTCGCGAGCAACCAGCATTAAATAAAAATTGAAATTTCGTATCAAATATTAACGGTACGTATATAAATCTATTTATTGTTATAAAAGCAGCAGGAAAATTCATTACATATTTAAGATTATAAAAAAACTGCTCTACTGTAGTTTAACAAAGTAATTAAACACTCATAACTTATGTTACATTGAATGTATGAAGCAAAATATCTTTGATAAGGTAAGTAAGTGTATGTAGATGATTGATCACTTATAGTTATCTTGGAAGTGCAAACATGTTACATGCTTTATAATGTTAGGAACAAAATTAGTACCATGCAATAGAATTGGCGCAACTCTAGATTATCGGCATAAAAGTCACATCCCTAGCTGACAGCTGTCAATGTCACTAGAAGTATGGCTAGATTGGCGCGCAACCTGAGTCCTGACGAGATGTGTTGCTCTGAGTTTAAAGCGACAGTATCAATTAAATAAGTTGTCTAAAAATTCAATATGTAAGTCATACCCTGCCATATTCATGTGTGAAGGCTTGCGAGATAGCCTGGCGTTGGGCATTGGAGCGTGACGTCAGGATGTCAATTATAGCCTGCTCGTCAGTACCAAAGCCTTTCATAGCAGCACGCAGAGCGGCAGCATCCTCCATTGCATTGAAGTTGGGGACTCCCACTACAGTTGGTTCACGCTGACACAGGATATCATTATCATCACCATGAGCTCACTTTATGTCCCCACAGAGGGACTCACGAGCCTACCCTAAGTAAAGGTGACTAGGCCATAGTCAATATGGGTCAAACATTAAATATTATCAAACATAGTGTATCTTTGATACATATGTCATACAAAGTATGATATAATATGCATGATTAGCATTATTTAGATCAATGACAATACTGATAAGAGTATAAAATACACAAAACAATTTATATTTTCATAGAAAAATAATTAATTTGTTACTAACTAGTCTAACGAAGTGAATATATGGACCTTGGCCTCCACCAAAAAATGTCTCAACTTTCGTCAATCCCGTGTAAAAAAGACCTTAGGCTAACCCAGCCGCGGACTTAGGTTAACATAAGGTCTTTTTTTACTTCTTATTCCATCAACACCTGGGGTGACCAATTTCTTGACGTTGTCCAAAATTCTTATAAGAAATTGTCGCGTCCGACATCTCTCACGCTCTACTTATTTTAAAAAGAAAAAAACGATGTCTTTTGGCCTGACAAATCGTACTTTCTAATACGGAAATATTGATCTTTTATAATAGTGGTAATAACTATCATTAAAAATGGCTCCTACATTTAAAAGAAAATAATTATTTTAATCCCTTAGGGACCCGCCCAGAAAAAGTGAGCGTCCCTTACTCATAAGTACCAATTAATTAAAAAGATGCGACATACTTACATGGCCAGTCATCTTTGATTTCTCCAATTGGAATATTTCGTTTAACAACTTTTAAACTGTCGACGAAATTACGGAACTGTAAGAAAGCGTGCGTATTAAGGGATTTATTTAACAAAAAAAAACAAGAATTAAAATCTTAAGATGTACACGAACTTCACAGATCCGCGGTATGACGTAAACTGACATTGACAAGTTGATCAAAAGCTCGTGACGTTTCTCACTTAGTGTTGCTTACATTTCTACTACTACTACAAAAATGGTAGTTTTACTTTACGCACTTTCACACTTTCTCTCGTTAATTCTATATTGAAAGACTTCCATAATGCTCAAGGATCGAGGAACTTAAAAATTAATTTTTGGATTAAACTAGGAATTAAACACTTCTTAGTTTTTATTTGTTTTATTTCTTAAGCACAATAATGTAATCCTAATACCCATTCCTAGATTTATCAAAATCTTGTTAAATATCTTGAGATGCGAATTAAGACTGCATATAACATTAATCAAAATTATTGTATCTACATAGTACATTGTTGTTAATTTGTTTTGAACCCCGTAATGCATTTGACACACTTTTGAATTAGTCAAAAAATATAAAAAATCAGATATAAGTTCTACCAAAAAATAATTATTGTTCACTTTTAATTACTATAAGATTAAAAAAAATCACATATGCTTACAATTATAATCGTTAATGTCTTTCAGCTTTTTCTTATCTTTAACTAACAATAATACTTTTCTAAAAGTATACAATAATTGTGAATATTGCATTAATTAAAGAAAATATATTCACTACTAAGTGAAACTACTATACAATTAAAAATATGTCTTATTAAAATACTCAATAACTATCAATAACACTAAGTCTGGTATAAATCGACCACTACCTTTTATGTCAACAGTAGAGCCATAGGCAATAGCATTTCTACAAAGTGGCACTATGGACATTCTACTATACTTTTACCGAAACATGAGATCTAAGATCGATGACGTCACAGGGACTTATTAAAAATAATGAAATACATCTAACGATACAGAATGGCTTTTATACTAACTGTAATAAAAACTTTTAAATTTTTGAACGACTATTAATTTCCCATTAACTAGTCGATTTAACCGGGTAGCCTCGGCATAACAGTCTACGTCACTAAGTATAGATTGGTCTCTAAATCTAAATAATTCTTATAACGACAGTATTAATGAACACTACGTTTATTTATCTATATTGTGTTTTCATTGCCACACGACAATACGGTAATCCTTCTCCACGTTGTCCACGTAGAAACCATTCATGTACTGGCTGCTGAAGACTTCTGACAGCTGAAAAAAGTCGTACAGAGTATAAAATACTACTTGCCACAGATAACAAAATGTTATCACAGATACTGTAAATAAATGTATGGTGTCTTTTAGCTTTTATACTAAAATATGTACCAAATTTTATAGTACATAAGATGTATGAATGTGTTATGAGAAACTATATTTACAATGAACGCAAGCTTATCGCATAGCTGGTTAAAGAATTAGTGTAGGCAGAAAGCATTCGCGTTTCTCCAAAAATCTATTTTACATTTGAAGACTCTCTAGGGTCGTTGTAAGTTTTGAAATGTAATGTGTTATTGTGTAAAAAATTACAGAACGAGTTCTAATTTGTGCATAGGAATAAGTTTCATGTTTTTCTCATATTATGAAAGTGTTTATAATCCTGGTTAGATTATATTAACAATAACATAAGTTCTTATTAGATATTTGTGTTAGGATTTACCTAGTACCCTCCAAAGGAATTTTGCTCATAAATAAAAGATGTCATTTACATTTTTTTAAATTTTAATCTACATATTGAAAGTTACATCGAAATTACATATTGAATTACATCCACATGGTTCATAATTTAAACATACAAGGTAATAAATAATACGTCGATTAACATTGTATGGGTTTAGAAGTTTAAAGAGATAATTTTCACTAAAGACTATCGCACTACGGAATATATATTGGTATGAATAAACCACAGCAGTTTAAAATATTCGAAAAGCGACAAAAGTACCTATATGCTTAATCTAATCTAGTTTATTTTTAAAATCGCTAGGAAACTGACACTTAACTTTAAAGATTAAGATAGTTTAGTAAATAGTCACATTTAGATAATCACTAATAAGATAAACGACAAGTCCTAAACACTACACAGATATATATGTTGCGACCTTTAAGTCTATAGCAGATTAAATGAGACCAGTGATTCCCAGAGGTCTATATCGACCCCTAGGGGTCTATGACAACTTGCAAAGGGTCTACGTCAGCGAAAAAAAACTGAGGCCCATGAAATGAAAATGGGGATCCTTGATAGTGGATCTCAACACATCCACTGATAGTACATATTTAGTTACATCGTACTATCTTATAAAATCAAAACATATACATTATTTATTTTGAGTAGATTTAATTTAAATTCAATTAATAAATGTATAAATTAACATGTGTTTTTACTTTAAACAACCTCACTACAGTTAGAAATTTACAGGAAATAAATATCAGGTAAATAGGGGGTCTACCCAACACGGAAAAACATGGCGAAAAAAATTTGGGAAGCTCTGAATTAGACCGAAGAGCAATATATGAAGAGGTCTGTTCACTCTTCAAACGCATTCGTGTTGACCTGCCAGGCAATCTCTCCGTACAACAGCTGCTGCCTGATGAAGGAGTGCTGCGCCGCGTTGGGTCGATGTCATAATAATATCTGGCGCATGAAGGGCGTAGTGCGCGGCAGCATCAGCCAGTTGCGCCGGCGCACGCGCCCCACCCGCCCCTGGAGACACACGCCAGGGTTACATTGCAAAACATTTCACAAACACTAATTGAAAAAATATTTTGCAATGTAATTCACGTCAAATGGTAATGGTCACAAACATTGGAATATATTGCTTGTATAGTCATTTTATTAAAAATATTATTGTAACTGGCTTTTGCAAGCGACTCCGCCTGACTGGAATTAAAAAAATCAAAACTGAGTATGTGTTCTTCCAGACTATCTACTACGTCTATGCCAAATTTCACCGAAATCTATTCATCCGTTTAGGCTACAAACTCTAACAAACATCCATCCATCTAAACTTTCGTATTTATAATATTAGTATGAAGTATATGGGTCAGGAGTGGCGCCAAAGACGGGGGGAGGGGGGGGGGAAGTTTCCCTCCTCGATAAAGTCGATTGTGAGATGTTCACAATTCCTCGAGACAGCACAGAAAATTAAAAAATGACTTCTTAATTTTTAATTTTAAAAAATTGGATCACCTTGATAAGTATATCCTTCCATCATCGGTCCCTTCCCCTAGATAATGTGCTAGCGTCGACCATATAAGTGTACCAATAAATGAACCCTCGGTATGTAAAGTGTAAAGGAATAATGAAAATTAACGAATGTTTGAAAGTTAATAACATGGAGAAAACCACATTTTTTTTTTACGTGCAACATACCTTGGACTTAGTAAACTGGAAAACTGAGTATAAGCGAAATTTGTCCTAACATTCTTATACTCTGTTTATCCTAAAATTAACTTTATACCGCGTTTATTTGTAAGGTTGCTAGAAATCTTTAAAAAAACCATGAAAGTTACAAATCGAGACAATTGGTTTTCTATTTTAACCTTTAAACCTCAATACTTTGTTTTAATTTAAAAATTAATAAGTGTATTGACAATCTTCACTCAAATTATTACGATGTTTTTTTCATGAAAATACAATTATTCAAATAATGCTCAAAAATATCTCATTAAAAATTTAAAACAATGTAACTAAAAAACAATATTAACTTTTACATTACTTCCCAAAACTGAATTTTAGTTATTATTTTACTTTCTGTTATTCTGATATCGTTTCTTTCGCCACAGACTTCGTACAATCACGTGACATGGATATCGCCATCCAATATTGGGGAGGGTGGTCGATGACAAAGGGTTCGCTAAAAGGAAAAATTTACACGTTCTTATTTCAAAAAGATTGCCTAAAAAAACTAACGAGTCATGTTTAACATGTCTTTTTGGGTCTTTAAAGAATTTATATAATAATTTTAAAATCTCCTCTCTACTTCCGCACTGGCGACACCAATGTCACGTGACCTTTACAAATGTACCATTACAAAACTTTTTTTTCGGATTTTAAGAAAATTGGATAGTAATAAACTTAAAAAAAATGTTGTAAAAAAAAAGAATGATCTAAATTTCGCAACAGCACACCTTTGTTAGCAAACCGCCAGCTTTCTGCCTACATATTACAAAATAACATATCAATGTAGGTTACCAATGTCGAAATACTTGTACAAAGCATATTTTTTCCTTAAAAACATTGTTTAAAATGTATTATCAGATTTTTATTGGTTTACTTATATTTTTTGTACCAGTCCCACCAAGTACTAGTCTCGTGTTATGATGATATGAAGTCACCCAACTTGTGTGTAAAGGGGCCAGCTGAAAACCAGCGCAGTAACGGCCTGCGCAGTCTCTGCATTAGCTGAGCTTGCCGCTTTTTGCCACATTTTCTTTTACTAGCTTTAAGGTTGATGTATGTATGTAAGAATTTATTTGTAGCTTGTTTTTGTGGCAATAAAAGTCTTATTTATGTAGTGGCGGCAGGATTCAAACTTTCGAGTGATCGAAAATCGGCAGCTCTAAACGTTAATTCCACGGAGATTTTGTAGCAATAAATGTTACCAACACACTAAAATCAAAACTCTCCCGCTTTTCTTCTCTAACCTACTTTAGTAATTTTTTTTAATTAGTTGTGCATGATCGAATTAATAGGTTAACCATTAAGTTGGTGTTTTAATTTAATTACAAGTATTTGGACACTGGAATATTAAAAAATGTGTTATTATGCAAGCTAAATGAAAATACCAAAACTACATGCTTTAAAAAATCTGTTAGTGTTAACGATTTTTCCAATAAATTTAGTTAGGAATGCTAACACAATACTCACCGCAGAGGACGCACTCTCCGCGGACTTTGTTGACGACGTCTCGCTTTCCCTATCACCGGACACTGAAATGAACATAAAACTAATTCATCATCATCATCATCTCCTCATCCTACTTCTGTAGAGTCGAAATTCCAGGATAATTTCATGCAGATGAAGCCGCATGGGAACAGCTACTATATGAAATGCAAAAAATATCTATACTATTATAACAAAGCGTTAACACACACTTCTTTGTTGCCTAAGATCTCAGCAATTACAGCATATTTTCGAATAACTTTTTTTAATATAAAACCTTACACGTCACGCTTTAGGCTATATATTTTCACACCATTAAAGTTAGGGGGTAAATATTTTGGATAAAAACCCTAATGTGGGATCTTTCCCAAAAAAGCAAAGAAGTCGTTCGTCAAGAAAGCAAGTTTGCCATGCTTTGTCATCGTCATGTCATTTTAACATTTGCTGTTGATAATTTGACACATGTAAACAAAAAAATATTTTCACAATTTAATACGGATGAAGTCGCACGAGAACAGCTAGTATCGTATAAAACCACAAAATAATTACATACCAAACAATATGAAAAGGACAGATGTTTTAAGCATAAACTTCAAGCTTATAGTGAATTGTTAGAAGCATTTACCCAGCATTCTTTTATAAATGCAAGATTTTGTGCTCCTTTTAACGGCTATATGTCGCTATAACCTAATTATAATACAATTAGCAAAAAAAAATGTTTTTGTTTGTCATCGAGATTAAACAAATTATCTAGAGACAAAAACATTTCCTGTATATAAATTTATTCAATCGAGTTCACAGATAACTGTTGCTTGGTCTCAGTAAACAGTGGAGTTTTACTGGTAATCTCATTTTGTTTTGGTATAACTAATTATTTTTAACTAGCTTTCGCCCGCGACTCCGTCCGCGTGGAATTAAAAAAAACGAAAGTGAGTAGCCTATGTGTTCTTCCAGACTATCCTCTACGTCTATGCCAAATTTCATCGAGATCCGTTCGGTCGTTTAGGCTACAAACTCTAACAAACATCCATCTATCCATCCATCCATCCATATAAACTTTCGCATTTATAATATTAGTAAGAAGTAAGATAGTAAGATTAGTAACCGCGGGCTAACAGGCTAAGAAATGGAGAGATTTATTTTCGACAATTGTTCACAAAAAAAGCGTATTAAGATATTAATTTTAACAACAAGTTCATCTACAAGAAATTAAAAAAAATTGTAAGTAGCCTGTGTTCTTCAAGACTCTACGTTTGTGCCAAACTGAGATCCGTACTTTTAGTAAGAAGGTTCTAACAAACATCCATACAAACTTTTGCATTTACCATATTAGTATTGTACGTTATACCTAAGTGAAAGTAAATGGTATAAACCATGATGAAAAGAAAGAAAAATGAACTATTTAAAAAAAAAGTTCTTTTAAATACACTATCTCACCTTCAGTGGGCAGCGTCAGCCAGAAGTGAGACTTGAAGGTGTTCCATAGTCCTGGGGGCAGATGTACATCTGGGCGCAAGGTGGTGCTGGACGCCAGCGACTTGGCGGCTTCCACCAGCAGCGAGGCGCGCCAGGAGGCAGAATAGATCAGCCGCATTGTAGACTGCGCCGCCGTCGAGCAGATCATCGGGAACAGCGCTTCGTGACGACGCAGGTTGTAGATACATACACCTGGTAATACGAAATATATAAGCGTAGGTTTTCACTGAACAAAACATATTGAGGTATCAATACCAATCATGAGATATTTTTATGGAAATTTTAGTAAAATTAGTATAATAAACGACTAATTAATGTAATAAAGTTTTACGCCTGATAGAAGCGCTGCTTAAATTTTATACAAAGTCCATACGACGATATGAAGAGCAGCAAAATTCCCATCAAAATGTTTCCTGCTTGAGTCCTAGGAGACAGTGTTTCCGTTCAACTACGAAAAACCTTTCTAGATTGAGACAAAACTATATCTAGATGTGTTGAAAACATATGATTAAAATCAAGAATTTTAATATTACTTCGCTATTAAATGTAACTTAGAATGAAGTTGTAACCGACGTGACATATTGCTAGAATCCAATCGATCGCACACGATGACGTCAAATAGGATATTTATAATTACTCGATATTCTTGTCTTAGAAAATTATTTATTAAAATAACATAATATTAATTAATAAATATTTATTATATTCATAATTGTTAAAGTGCATGATATATTTTTTACACATTATGCCACTACCATTTTTTTTAAATTCCTCGGTTTGCCTCGCCTGGTTAGACCATGGCATTAAAAGTAACACAGAGAAGGGAAAACTTCTAATATAGCTAGAAGCGTACAGTATAGGTATGTAAATGAATAAATTCGTAATGTCCAATGCCCTTTATTCGTCCTCGATTGTACGTATGACCTGCGAGTTACGCAACTCCGCTATCTGTTCGAGTCAATTAAAACTGATAGTAACTGCTACATAATCCTAAATGATTTGCGTATTTACCGTATTTAGTAGTTAAATAAACAACGAGCACAAACATTTTATCGACTACATTACTCTCTTAAATTTTCGTGGTAGACCCCTGGCTAAAATTAAAAGCGACGTATGTGCGTTGCATCTTTTAATGGTAACAATTTGATATGATTACCTTCACCTACTCTGATACGTTCAAAAATGATAAGTCGAAAGTTACAGCTGTTTTCCACTTGTCCGATATAGAATCCGTATCTAATCGGATGTCGGCGCGTTTGTTCACACTTGTATCATTTTGATAGTCGGAATAAAACAATAAATGTTTGTAGTTTGAGACGTGATACATGAGATGGTCCGCACGATCCGTCTGGCAAGGGTTATTGCCACTCTTATCGTTAATAGTGAATCAATTTAAGTCAAAGTTCAACTTGTATTTATTTGGATATATGTACGTTGTCATGCGGATATTCATATTTCACTGCACAACAATGGTTTCAACACATTTAATGCCGCTACAATTTTGACTAGTGGTCCGTATAAGCTCAGAATATGGTCCGCAAATGACTATAATTTGTCGGTGAGTGGGCTATTGATTTTTCTTACTGCACAGCGGTACCTACTGGTAGTACTTAGGGGCAATATATAACGCATAAAACCTGAGAGCCCATAAAATATTTGCTAAAAATCATTCCAATTGATATCAAAATATATAATATATAAATACGGGAAAAAAACCTAGAAATCTCTTTACATAGCAATCACTGCTAATAGAAATACAAAAGTGATCCCTAACAAGGTTAGGACTACCTTATCAAAGTTTCTGTAATCATGTCTAATTTTTATAACTTACCTTGAGGGCGTCTATTGATGAAGAACTCGAGAGTTCCTGCCCACATGTCGAGTCGGACGCCGATGATGCTGCCGCGACAGAAGCCGGCGGAACCTCGCACCTCCGCGGCGTCATGTCGCACTGGACCGAGGTACGACAGCCCGTATGACTCCGAATCCTGGCCTAGTAGGGAGGTGAATGTGTACTGGGAGTCCGGCACCTTGCCTGAACCTATGCCCACCATCTGCAAACAAAAATTACATTCAATTCCTTTGTCAAAAAGATTCGCAGTGTTAGGACTAGAAAATAGGTAATTTAACTAGTTTGTGTGTGTGGTCTGAAGTGTTGGCAAGAGTTATTTTTCATTATGATATTACATACTAATTCTTGTTTATCTATACTTCAATACAAATATAATAAAGCATAAACACACTACTTCAGATGTCAGCAATCACAGCATATTTCTGAATAATTCTTTTTTTTAATTAAAAGCCCTACATTTATGACATGCTTGAGGCTACATATTTTCCCGCTATTAAACTTAGGGGGTAAATAAATTGGAAAAAACCTTTATGTGGGAAAAGAACTATAAACAGCTGCCAACATGAAGGAAGCAAGGTTGCCATGGTTGTCATTTGTGCATTTAATTTGACATTTGCAATTGAATATATCACAAATGTAAACAATAAAATATGTACTTTATAATTTTATGCGGATGAAGCCGCACAGAAACAGCTAATAATAAAATAAAAGACAGTGTAATAAAATGTATTACATTATCTTCCTTACTTATTATGCATGTAAGTATATTAATTTACATTAAGTAATTTGCCTAATCCATTAAGTATATATTAAGTACAAGTATATTGTTCCTGACTGTTCCTGTTGTTAATTTATTATTTAACTTTTGTTAAATAAAATAACAGTAAACAATCAAATTTGTTTCATCCATACTATGGGTTAATGGGTCATATTAATAATTTCATTATAATTGATTTGTTTGAAGATAATAGGTTAATTTGATACCAAAGAGGAAAATCTTTGTTTTTAATAACACTTGATAAACAATGTTGTTGAGATTATCTGAATGTCTTAATTATATCTTATGTAATCCTAGGTAGTTAGTTGATATTCTAGAAGTAACTTATCTTATATGACTTAATAGTTCAAAAGGGAGTGATGACTGAGATGACGTATGATAGAGTTATGTGGAGGACAAAAACCTGTTGCACCGACCCTATGTGAGTAGGATAAGGAGATGATGATGATGATGATGATGGAGGTCAATGATCAATTTACTATGTCACAATCAAGGGCGGATCCAGCATTGGCGCTAGGGGAGGGGGGGTTCACATAGTCATGGTCAAGTCACGAGCTTGACAAAATATATTTACATATTATCAGCTCAGGATCAGAACCAGCTCAGGAAGGGGTCTTGACCCCCATGACCCCCCCCCCTCTATCTGCTATTGGTCACAAGCTAGACATTAAATAGATTAATGCAGCCCAGATTACACAGTCAGTTTAATCATATCTTGTTGGAATATTTAAAATGCAATGCCAATGCAAAGAAAAATCTTTTGCCATCTGATTTAGCTAAAATAGTGAAATCGCTAGCCATATTGTCCTATATTTTTTTTTAATTTCCAGCTTCTATCAGGCACAAAAGAGTTAAATGTGTACTTACAATATCAGTGCCGTAGGTCTCCGACAGCATTTTTACTTCCCAGTAGTAGTGATTGTTGTGCACCAGTGGAGTGTCACCACGGACCGCAGCTGTACCAGAACTGTAGTATGGGTGGAATGTCACCTGCTTTCCATCATCACTCATCACCACTTGGCTTCTGGCTTCTGGGTTACTCCATTTCCACTCAAACACTAAAAGAGAATTAGTCTAAATATTGGAAGATAATATAGTGGGGTAGTTGTAAAATTGTGTTTAAAAAAAATTGTTTTTTCCAGCAACATGCAGTTTTAAGGCTTCTCTATATGAATGGCTTATCAGTAGGAAAATCGGTAGTTTTAGCTGTGTTCAACAAAAAAGATGGTTTCTGAATGAAAAACAGCTTGAAAATGACTGAAAATTGATAAAACAGTGAGATGAATTAAATATAAATCGGTGTTTTTTCTTATAATGAATACCGCATTTAATAATTAAACAGTTCAATAGAAAAATCTTCCTTACCTTCTTCTTCCTCGCCACATGAACATTTGCTTAACTCTCTCCATTGTACGGGTTCCTTCTTATCCCAACATAGGCAAAAAGGACGCGCAACTTCGTCCGCATCGCCACTTTGTGGATTTCGTGATAGCATATTGATCACAAAAGGCTTTCTTTTGTATCACAAAATCATGAAGAAAATGTACCATACGTCGGAAGTATATTTAAAACATTTATAACTTTCACACTAATTCTACGGCGAAATAAAGAGTACGTAATAGTAAAAATTTCAATCACGACGATTTAGGATTATACAAACTTCTTTGACAAAAAAAAAAACATCAGAAATTTATCAAATAAATCGACAGCCAACGAAGAGAATGAGTGAAACTGACTGATGAGAAAAATCAATACGCCGTTTTTATAGTCTTGTTAAAATTAGCGTTCGGAAATACATTTCAAACATACCAGTTGCCAAAGCCGAAACAATAATTAAATACATTTGTGTTTATTGATTGCAGATAGTCACAAAAGTACTGTTTAATGTGATTAACGACACGGGTTAAATATTTACTTTCATAAAATAAACATATTGTAATTATTTGGAATTAATTTTAGTGGACTTAAATCAATGATTTCAGAACGAAAAAAAAATGTGCTCTTGTTTCTGGAAAGTTCCGGAAATGACGATTTGAAACCCCGCAATCGATTCGATTTAAATTACAAATAAAGGAATTCGTTGGAAAAATGCATTTCATTGCTTCGTGTATTATTCAAACATTCAATGTTTTTTATGAAAATAACATAAAAACATGAAGAAACACGCATTAGATCTTTACGTATATTGTCCAGTTGTCTTAACAACGTTTTGTTTTGGCTATAACTTTTTATTACATGGCTTAATTTTTATGAATTAAGCCTTTTATGTTAACGTTTTAGAGTAATAATAGATATCAGCAAAAGCATTGAAATCGACGCCATAATTGCTTTATTTTCCAATCGGTAACATGACTTTTTAATTTCTTGGAGTTACCTATTCCGTTTTATTGATTTGCGAAATTTTCTGTTAAGTTGGTATTATTGCTTGTTTTGCTCTGGCGCCCCGCCCACGGAGAATTGTCATTTTTGTTTCAATCTAGAATTAAAAAAAATATTATTAATAATGTGCAAAAAAGCTTAAGAAATGCATTATTCAAATTCAAAGCGTGATTTTTCTCGTAAGTCAACCAGCGTTGTATAAAACAGGTACTTTCTTTTAGAATAAGGCTAATTTTATTAATCGTGAAAAATGTTAGTATTCAAGTTTCCATTACAACTATTAAAATTTTAATGTTTTGTCAGTGTAAACATACAAAATTAATGATTTCAGAGTCTGAATAAATTGAAGTGTCGGAAATGGTGTTTGTACACTAAGTTTGACTGCTTCGAAAAGGGCTGATATTGACGCGCTTTGGTCGCTCGAGCACCGATGCATTTCTGGATAGACAAACGTAGTCAGTGCGCCTACAGCGGCCGGCAGCGGGTACCATCCTCACTGTCCGCTGGTAAGACTCACAGTATGTATTATGCTACAAAAAAAAAACAGATAGACTATTTCTTGTTAGATTCTAGTAAGTTAAATCTTACGCTTTCGTATTTGTAAACCATCAATGAACTTCGTAATTTCATTTTGATAAATATTCGATCAAGTTACATGTAAATGACTATAAAAGGCATACTGGAACTTCTCCATATACCTTTGCTAGTTTTGTTCAACTTACTATTCCTTCTTGCTTTCCAAAAACAATACATTTTACCAGTGTTAAGAATTATAAGAAACTTAAATTCTAACCTGATTATTGCGTAGTAAAAACACTTATAATTACCAACTCCTAATGATAAGGGGTAATACCACCAATGTACTATAGTCAGGGCCCTTCGCAGTGTTCTATGTATAGAAAAATTGCCTTGTTGCTTTCACCGAGACAAACTCTGACTTAAAAAAAAATTAACTAGGCAGTGTTACTTTTGTATAAACACATTTACAATCTGCTTTCAATTGTTTCTTATTGGATTTATAGGAAATGTTCAAAGTACTGTAGCCCTAAAGTACAAAATTCACATTTTAGGGAAATCATTGGCTCCTTATATACAGGTTAACCTAATTAAGGAGAAATATGACATTGAGAAATATGATTCTATAATCATTAAGTATATAGTAAAGAATTTACTATTTATGTGCAACATTTGAATTTGTATGTGTAGGCGTGGGGCGCGCGCGTGGGCGCAAGGGTATGGCGGCGCCCGTGCACCGCTTCGCCGCTGTGGACTGCGCACCCCGCCGCCCTCATCGCCCACTCAGGCATTATGCGTTAGTATCAATTTGTAAGCAAATCTTACATCTCAATTAACAAAGGCGGAAACACATTCCAGTAAAACATGGTAATAGCTGGTATGCCCGCTACTAGTAAAGAGTTCACAAATACCAGTAAAATGTCAACAAGATTATAAAATGAAAGACATATCATTTGCAATTTATTATTAACTAGGTTTCGCCCGCGACTCCACCTTTCTCTCTTTCCACCCAACTTGGACATCGCTGTTACAAAATCAAATATTGTGCTTAAGTTTTCACTTATGATGTAACTATCACAAGCCAGTATTTGTCATGTAACTATGCCAGTTACTTGTGTGTGAATTTGCAGACTTACAAAAACTGTCTTCCATTTTCCAGGCCTCCTCCACTACCAGCTGTACATTCTACTCGCAGACAGAATGAAGAGCCCAGTTTGTATGTGGAAATACCACCGGAGCCCCCGCAGCCGACGATCGCAAGCCTGGCGGCTGCGAGGAGTGTCACCCCTGACACGTTACTTCGCACGGCAGCCCTAGGGCTCCATAATTCACCCATGATGGCGCCGCACCTTAAGTTTGGCATGCTAGTATCGTTCGCCCTGGCGACGGTCTTCTTAGCTGGTGCTAAATATTACTTTGATATACATGTAAGTCATTTCTTGTCTTTTACTAATGAATTTTTTTAACACAATTATCTCCAGTTTACTTTGACAATGAAGTTTTCTTTAGCACATATGTGGTAGATGATTGCAAATTATAAAGTTATTACTTAATTGAATGAATGTGGATGGCTACAAAAGTGAAGGAAGACCAGAGAAAATATGTATGTACTAGCTGTTTCCCTGCGACTTCATCCGCATAAAGTTATGAAAATTTTATATTATTGTTTACATGTGTCAAATAATCAATTGCAAATGTCAAAATATCAATTACCTTACTATGGCAATTTTGTTTTCTTGATGTTGGCAGCAACTTATGGTCTCTTTCCCACATTAGGGTTTTTATCCAAAATATTAATCCCCTATGTTTAATAGCGTGAAAATATATGGCCTAAAGCATGACGTAAATGTAGGGCTTTCTATTACAAAAAGAACTATTCAAAAATATGCTGTAATTGCTGACATCATTAGGCAACAAAGAAGTGTGTGTTTACGCTTTATTATAATAGTATAGATTGTGTTGCAGATTATATGCTTAAGGGTGTGAATTCAGATATGACAGCTGCTAGACATGAATGGATTTGACGGTGAAGGAGACGCATAGGAAGGGGAAATGTCCTCTTTATGTGCGTCTCCTCCTCCGTCAATTAGGGTAGGCAACGCATCTGCAATTGCGGATGTTTATGGGCAGCGGTCGCTTTCCATTTCGGTGGATTCAGGTGGCTGCTTGCTCGTTTGCAACCTGGAATAAAAAAAAAATGGAAGAGTACTGTACCAACCATCCATAAAAATAAGGTTGTTGATAGCATTCCTTAGCATAATTTTTGTAAAGAAAAGTGAGTTATCCGGTTTTGGTACTTGAGCTTATTGTAGCATGTTTGGTTTAAAGTCAAATTACAAATTACATCTAAATATGAAGGGGGCTTTAAGAGAAGAGTAAACAGCTGTTAAGCAAGTGTAAACCATCTTTAACTACATCATCACTTTCTGGGGGTGGTATTTTGGTCAAGTGCTAGCATGATTACAAAGTAATTTTTTTGTGTCTGAATTGCCACTGTTTACCTTGAAGAGGCATTTACAGATAGGCGTGAAGTGGGAGAAATTCCGTGTATAGCCTGATGAGTAGGGTGCCATAGGCCTAACTTAAGTCCCTTTTATTTTCTTATAAGAAAATGGATGCAAAGGAAACATGGATTTGCTGGTGGAGGAGACCCATAGTCAGGGAAAACCTTTTTATGTGCGTCTTCTTCGCCAGTTGGGCGGATTCAGATGACATAGCTCGTATAAAGTGAAGAGTGTGTATGTGCAGGTGTCATAGGTCATATAAAGTGAAGTGTGGTGTGTGTGTGTATGTGCAGGTGTCATAGGTCATATAAAGTGAAGTGT